TCGGAAGAGTTAAGCCCGCGAACGGAATAAGGTAAGGGAATAGGAAACGAATCTGTGGTCGCGTGAGTGAGAGCTAAAAAGACAGTTCGAGCGAACGAGGAGAGAGGGAGAGAGACAGAGAGAGAGAGAGAGAAGGACATCGACGACTGTGAGCGCTCTCGCGCGGGCGCGCGCGCGCACCCGCGACTCCGACACGACTCCACGACGACTACATCGTCTTCGCCGCCGATGTGCGGCCACCGAGGAAGCATCACGCCGCCAACAACGTGTCCCGGACGTCTTCCCCGTGCTCGCCGGCGTGGTCACACCGTCGTCGTCGCCCGCCACTCGTCACACGCGCCGACGGAAGTCTGAGCCGTCGGCGCCGCGCTACCTAGTGCCCCGATCGTTCTCGCGAGGATCGGTGTATCCGCTGATATCGTCGCGCAACGTTTATCACCGTTATCGATACCATTACCGATCCCGACGTCTGCGCCGCCGTCACCTTCCTTCTCGTACGTCCTCGTAGCCGCCGACATCGTCGCCGAGGCTCAACTCGCATGTATGCATCTCGACGCGTAAGTATTTATCAGAATATAAAGAATTTTATATATATATATATATATACATATATATATAAAATATATAGGAGGAAGAGAGGGAGGGGGCAGAGTCGTACGAATACGAGAGAGAAAGAGAGAAGGGCACGTATGTATATACGTGTCCTCTCATACTGACATAGGTTGTACGGGTGCATACGAGAGAGTTGCGTGTGCGTAGGTGAGTGCACGGTGTGGTCCAAGTGTCGAAAAAAATTGGGTGGGGAGAACGGTTAGCCAGCCGAGGAGTCACTCCGCTTTTCTTGCTGCTCCCTTTCTCTCCCTCGTCTCTCTCTCTCTCTCTCTCTCTCTCTCTCTCTCTCTCTCTTTCTCTCTCTCGATTTGGCTTCGTAGAGTTGTTTCCTGCCCCCGCTCTCTATTTCTGTCCTCTTCTGTCTCTCTGTGCGCGCAACTCGTCGCCATCGTATTTGAGCCGGTACTCTTACGGCTTTCTTAACCCTACATTTTCGTCTGTCACCAATTCAGTCAACGGGAGGAAGGAAGATCCTCCTCCTCTATCTATCTCGGGAGCGGCGTTTCCGAGCTCGTTGTAATATATGTATATCAGAAGATCCTCTCGGTTTCGTTAGTTTCCTCTTCTATTATATAACAAACAATCGATCCTTGAACCGCAGATCTTTTTTTCTTTTTTTCTTTTTTTTTACCTCCGGGTAGAAGGGATGCTTCCAGTTATTTAATAATTACCGCAAATCTTCTTTCATGTTGAGGTTAGATGCGCACGTGAGGATTTTATTGTCAGAAGCCACTACCGCGGATAATAAAACGCTAAAATAAACGATCTCATAATCACATAATTATTCTGTGTTGATCGGACATTCACATATTTTAGTTTTAAAACGTGGCTGCTCTATTACGAATGTTGACATAAAATTCACGTGAAATTCATTTTTATCGTCTGAAATATGAAATGCTTTTAAGTCTTCGCTCGTTTGAATAAAATTGTCGTTTTCGTCGCGTTGATTCATTCGATCTCTGGGATTATCGAACGTTTCATATCTCGATTATCGCGGTTACGCGTTGCCATACCATTCCGGCATTTGATTCCGAGGCATTTGCGTTAAAAGTACTCGTCAAATGTTATCAAGAATTTAATACGTGACACTTGGTGCAAATAACTTAATTTAGAAAAGATAAAAAAATTGGATTGTATTTTATAAAAAAAGAAGGAGCATTTTCGCGGTTGAATCGTTAATGTGAATGCATTTCGTAATTTAAATTAAATCTTTAAACGTAACTAAATCTTTTAAACAAGATGTTTCTTTGACACATTCCATCTCATCGTCCATCTGATTCATACTATTTTTGCAATAACTGAGATAGCAAGTCGAAAAAGATCTGCCATGAAAATTATTGAGTATTTTGGAACATCTTATAAATATATTTAATTTTTTCAATTTTATTTTTAATTAATTAATTTTATTTTATTTTATT